GGAACGGATGAAAGAAGCGCTACAGTACGCGCCATGTGTAGAAACGAGTCACATAGGTATATAAGCAAAATAGAGAAATTCCGTCATCGCTTACTAATAATTGAGGTGAACCTAAATTTCTTTCGCTGTCAATGACCTGGGTTGTTTTCTTATTGTCATATTCATGGAATGTGCCATATTTGCAGGCACTCACTATTTTTGCCCGAATTGTATTTGTTATATAACCAACTCGAAGTCTAAGGGACCACTTCAAAGTTGGTCCTAAAAGACAGCAAGTTTCGGCTATCTATCGTCTGTTAATTCAGAAAACAAAGTGAAGTGGGATTGCGAAAGTAACATTCCTGGTTGAGGAAATTTAACAAACAAATCTAGTTATTCATTTTCAACCTCCAGACCCATCAGAATGCTACGTCGCTTGGGTAGAAGCAAATTTAGCACGATATGTGTTAGATCGGTTTTGAGTTTTACCTGCGAAAAACACGATTAATTTGAGTTATTAATATACTTTGTATTAGCTGATAATGATACCAACTTCTACAGGATGGATTTTCCGGCAAAAACAAGTGGTTATCACCAGACAGTCACTGATATCGATAAGAAACATCCTGTATAGAAGGGCATCGCCAAGTGAGTACTGCTCATTCAAGAGAGATGCTCCACTGAGGGAGATCCGCTGCAATGCGCTACAAAGACACAATCTCGAGAACACGAACAAATGCGGACCATCGACTCGAATCGTTTGCTCTGGTGAAGACGAAACCGTCGAGACGTTAGCCGAAAACAAAAACTATTTGCAAACCTCGAGTAAGCCCATCAAGGAAAGAGTACTATTCATTTGCTTAAATTGTTGACCTTACACGAGGTTGATAAATCAGTTTTCTTCCGCTAACTTCTCGTCGTTTCGTCTCCCTCTTTTCACCTCATGTAAGCTCAACAATTTATAAACATATTGGTTATTTTACTAACGAGGTTAAATAACGGTCAATTCGAAAATTATTGTTCTACTACTCATTGCCCATTTGTGTAGCATCTGGCCACCGGTGCGTGCCTCAACAATTCCATCAGAGGCATATCAAGACTCTTCCATTTCCCAGCAAATTGGAGACTATCATTTACATCCGACGAAGTCCACGCTACAGCAGAAGTTCAGCAAATTACAAAAAAAAACAAAACAAATAGGAACCGCCGAGTCTCTAGGAACTTCAAATTGGTCAATGGTTTGCCCAATGACGAAGATTTTAAATAGTTTATCGAGCCCCATAACGACTGCATAAGAAAATGCCTGTTCTCAGTTTTGACGTGCATCTAATGGAGTGCCGCGGAAAGAATTTTGGTGCTGTGAAAACCTGTAAGAACTTCTTAATGAATATTTGTTGCACTTACTCAAGTCGTTCTAGTACATCGGTCTTTTTTCGATTTTTTCGATCGGATCGGAAGAACTTTTGTTTGTTCCCAACCGTTGCGAGACCGAAGATTAGCCAGCTGATAAACAGTGGGCAATGTAACTTGCCGAACCTGATCCTTCATTTCGAAATTTAGGTTTTTTCTTTGTTTATTTACTCGGTATAGACATCTCAGAAAAAACCTAAGAAGAAAATGGCAGGGTGACTAGCGAAAAAATATCCAGTGTAAAAATTTGTGCTGGATGATGTTTCACCATACATGTGATGGTCCACCTTCCTCGATTTGAGGAACCCACTGCAGCAGCGAAATGATCGCCGCTCCTTGGGAAGCACTACGGCCGAAATGATAGCCGCGATATGCTTATAACAACGTAGTGCAAGCTTATCAACAAACTAATCCTGGTAAGGCCCTAATTAATCACGCTGGAGTTAAATTACAGCTCGTATTGAAAATAGAGCTTTAAAGAAATTTTGTCCTTCTGCTTGCCCAAAAAAAAGAAAAAGCGGGACGAATAACCAGTGGACGTAACCAAGTGAGGAAAATCGTCGGATAAGTGACAAAAGCAACTGACGGAGACTATTATACTTCCATACAATAACATACATACAACACGATTGTAGTTGACGTTTCGGCAGTATCGCCTTCTTCAGAACCGTTTTTGAAGTGTCTTCCACTGAGGACTGTTCACTATTTTGTAGGGAGTATTCCGCACTTCTTATAGCTCTTATATGTTGACTATGTTATTTTCATAATGCTCCACGAATGCTTATTCCTCTCTGCAGAGCGCGTCGTCACAAATTACTCATCGTATCCCAGAAGTGCTTGTAGTCAATTTGTACGTCAACATCTACGCAGTGGTTAGATCACCAGCCTGGAAAGGCCGACCAGCTTCAGCAATATCTGCATTAAGTGGGGATCTAGGTGGTAGGGTGTCATTGGTCAATTTCAAATTAAACTTTAAACTTTTTAAGTTTTGAACTAGCATCGAATTAAATTAATTCGAAAATCACAATGATGCTTCTAGCTCTCTACACTTTTGTCCACCAAGGACTACTATCCCTAAATGCATAACGACCATATTATGCATAATAGCGACATGGACGCAGATGAACAATTACACCGCTGACATTATTGTGGAATGCTACCCTTTTCACCAAATCGTGTACGGGCTGAAGACAACAGGCTTGGATATCGCTTCCTTTTAGACATTCATTATTCGGTGTTTCTGCCAATTTTTCGGTAATTAGAAATCACTTAAGATCTGGCGAACTCAGAAGACTTATTGAACCGATCGTTTGTTGATTCGTACACTGAGCTTTTTACACTTTGTGGTTAGATCGAATCTTTCATGAAGCGATAAAGTGACTTCATGGAGTGCAAAAGATAGAGACACACCGACGATTGATAGATTTTACAATATGTTCACAAGGAATGTAAGTGACCTCTACTGGAAAGCTACTGTTCAGGCAAATGTAAGTAGCCTTCACCGGAAGGTTACCATTAGGCATGCTCGCGTCCATCCGTATTAAGCGCTCTTCTCGAATAGAAATATCCATGAAAATGAGGAGTGGCAGAGTGTGGTCCTGCAAACCGATCCCGAACTTTCATTGAGTTATTTTCACACAAAATTTCTGGTTTTGTATTCCACCCTTGTACCATTTCAATCCTAACATTAAATCGCTCATAGCAGTTTTGTAGGTTTCTTGTCGCAGATGATTTGCTCAAAATCTTCATGGAACACTCTATGCTCTGTATAATGTTATGATCGATGTATGAATGCCGCCAACGGTTGACATGAGAAGGAACTCCAAAAACGAATTTCCACTAAAACGTAATCGTGATGATCCTCCTCTTTTACGACAGATAGATATCATTACGATATCATTTAATGTGACGTCTTTAACCATGGCGAGATGATCGCAACAGGGAAATGTTACGAAATCGATGAAATCCCAAGAAACTGAAGCGAATGTGTAAGAACGTGGCCGCGGGAAAAGGACAATTTTCTAGCATGATAGCGCTCAACCACAGGTTACTCAAGTAACGTTGCAGAAGTTAAAATAAGTTGGATTCGAATCTTTACCTTACTTGGTGCGCTCATAGAACCTATTTCTCAGAGAGCACAAGTTTTTTTTCAAGCATTTCAACAGTGAACAGTCAGAAAAATCGTCATTTAGCAGACTGCTGCTGAAAATATCTCTGAAGAAACCTTTGCTTTCGGAAGTTCAAAACACCGTGCTGCTGCCGAAATAAGTAAATTTACATAGAATGATGCTAAGATATTTGCAAAACACCTAACCGCATGTGTCTGCGGTGCGGAACCAACTCGCTATTTACCCTTTCCGGGTTGCTGATGGCCCTGATCGATAGAACCAGCCGAGAGACAGTCAAAAATGAGGGGTCGAATGGTATAGTGGTAAGCGCGTTAGCATCCAAAAAAGTTAATAACGCGTTCGTTTCCCACCGCAGATACCAGCGTTACGGAGTTTTGCAATTATCTTAACATCATTGTAGTTGTATCACACATAATACCCTGCCGTGAAAAATTCTAATAGGCAGTAAATAAAAACCTAACAGTTTATGTAAATTCACATCCTATTGGGATATTTGGTTTGTGCGTGCAACACACACCTGATGCTATCTTGGATTTTGCACCTGGAGCTCACCAAAGCTTCCATCGTCCAGATGCCTCTGAAGTAGTGTTAGTTTTGTTTTGGAGGCCGATAGCGTTGGCTCGGTACATCAGAAGATCATCGAAAATCACTGTGTAGGCCACATATGCATTCAACTTCTACTATAATGCTTGATGGAGACGAATACTTGTTGCATCTCTCAGGGATTCATTAGTGGGGGAGGTTTTATCCTTTATCTTTTTAACACTTCAAATAAACCTGCAACTATGGAGAATTTCTTTCGTAGAAACCCAGCACTTATCAACTAAAGTAATTATTGAGCAGTAATTCTTCTTATGCTAAACGTGGTTTACGCCGTTTCAGAAACGTATGACTGTAATTTGGCTAACCATAAAGGGACCGATCAGTGCGCACATAATTTCTGCTCCGGAGTGCCTCATTACATGGCGATAAATGGCTCTAATAATACTGGGATGTAAAAAGGGAAACTCGTGTTTAGTGTTTTCTGGAAATTTTTTGCTGCAGTAAATCGCTATTCCATACTAAAAAAAAATAGAACTGTTAGAATCAATTAATTCCTGAGGGATGCGCCATGCATTCGACTTCATTAAGAATCGTTTGGAGGTGATTGAATGCATAGCTGGCCTTTACAATGACTCGCGGTGGCCTACCAATGTATCGAGCCAGTGCTGCTATCCTCGCAGGCAAGTCTGTTACCAATTTGCAGACCCGCTAGGGATGGAAAGCTTGGTGGGCCAAGGGCGTGCGGACCGATCTCACGCGTGTGCTGCAGGGTGCCTTCAACCACTGCACTACACGAATATTTCACACTAATGGTTAATAATCAACAATTTTTGAGCTTTAAAACAATGGCTTCATTGGAGGCTTAGTATCTATGGTTGACAAAGAATTCAACATGCATTAGAACTGCTGTCTGTTCGCTCTATTTCTTTATTGACATTCTCAGTGGTCGTTATAGTACAGATCAGGACTGCCCGATTCTCCAGCGTTGCAAGTAGCACAACAGAACTTCTTGGCATAGCCGTAACTGCAGTCAAGAACTCGCAGTTGTTTCACTGTTCGACAAACATTCGTCAACTTATCGGAACACTCTGCAAAGAAAGGAGGAATGATAAAACAGCAGCCATTTGCATTTCTGTTGCAGTTATTAGTATTTCCTTATTAAGGAGTCTTAGAGCGAGGTGACCGACTTTCAAAAACTTATTCAAACTTCGGTGCCCGTTCACTCTTGAATGGAAAATTTCACAAGAATTTTTTCGAATAATCTTCCACTGAAATATGAACCAAGCAAATAAGTTATCGAGCGCTGTGATACACCGATATTGTTAAGGAAGGCAAGGAAATTAGCCGCAAGCCTAGAGGCTGCCAAAAGAAGCTGCCTAGGGCGTATTGACTTTGTGATTAGAAAGAGCGCCTCAGTTTTCTTGTGACGCCATTTCCACTACTTTTTTCCGTTTGAATTTAGTCACGGGTAGGTCGACAGTGTCTGCTGTTGTGTAGTTTACTCAGAGCTGGACTTCCACCTAGAAATGTCGATCACCTTCCAAGCTTGGGCGACCATAATATGGATAAGCCTTTGCTCTACACTAGAGCTCCACAGTAAGCAGTTATATCACAAGAAGCAGCATACAGGCAGTTTTAGTATTGGCTAAGATCTTATTTTTAAATGACTATTGCGGTGCTTTCGATATTTTGTTAGAAAGTTTCAATGCTGATTGGGGTCGAAGACCAACTCTTAGGCATCATGGCGCTGAGTGCTAGTAAATTTCGACTTCATACGTGCTCCAAAAATGATTCATTAAATGGAGTTCAATAGAAATACCTTTGTCGGTCGAAGGCTCAGTCTCAGGCTCAGTCTCAGGTTCAGGTTCGGGTCTCCATTTATCTGTATTCTCATCATTTGTTCCTGTGATTCCACTGTTACACACTTTGCAGCCGTAGATGTTGCAAACCTTTTGATAGTCGCTTGAGGAGGCGTCAGTTTGCGTTCCAATCACATTCTGAAAACAATCGTAGAAACACCATCACAGATGGGACGATAAAGGTCAAGAATTTAGAAAGTATCGCTGTACCGTATATCTAGAATCAAGCGTTTCCATGGTTACTGTGCCTGGCCGAGCGAACGCTGCCTTTCCGTAATGCATTACCGATTTATAGTCGTAAGGGATATTATACAGCGTTGACTGTGCGGAGGATACTATATCGAACTGCGATCTTTGACCTAAAATTTGTCAAGGCTATTAACAAAATCATGGCAAGTTTTGTTCTGGAAGTGGGACACGATAACATGCCAAGAACCATAGTGACGGCTCAGCAGTCTGTCGTCGTCAAGAAAAACCAAGCTTTTTATTTCGTGATGAGTTGTGATATTTGTCATACCAAGAGGCATTATATCTATAAACTAATAAAAGGATTGAACTTTGAAAGCAGCTAGCAGACAAAGACCGACTCCTCAACCAACGTGTCTGCCGCACCTATTTGGCCTGCAGTTTTCCGGCTGCCTCTCTATGACTGGATATCCATTCATGCTGTTGATTACGCACTAGCAATTAAATAGTTACATTCTTTTTTTTGTAATTTTCTCCCTATAGTTCAGTTCTCTACTAAGCACCTCTTCAAAGTAAAAGCACCGCCGGTTATTACGCCGAGCCATTTATGAGTGAAA